TGGGTGTGGTGGGTGTGCTGGGGGCTGTTGCGCTATTTCTGTTGAGCAACAAAGCCAACCCAGGAGCGCCTTTTGCTAGGCTTGCCAGTGCCGTTTTCCCCAAAACAAGGGCGGAGTCTCAGGGTGCAATTCAAAGGGCCTTAGAGGGTTTAAGGTCCGAAACCCTAAACCCTAAAACCTAACCTTTAAGGAATCAAGCTAGCTACAATCTGTTGGACCAAACTCGGCAGGTCGATACCGCGGGGCTCACAAGCATTCCTCATCTTTACTTACCCTAACCCTACAAGTCCATGCTTGGATACGTAGTGACTTAGTGACTTACCCTAGGGGTCCATGTACCCAAATAGTATATACTTTGGCCTTAATGTAGTCCCTATATGGGTACTTTAGGGCCAATGTTCTACTATTTAGGTACATGGACCCTTAGGTTTAGTGAAAACATAACCCCCCCCCAAAAAAAAAAACTCCAGGCATCTCTAAACCCTTAAAGCCTCTTGAAGACGTGTAGAGACGGCGGCTTCTACGCCTAGAGAAGGGCTTGGCGTTCAATTCTACTATAGATAGAGTAACGAGCCCTAGCAAATAGCGTGAGTCAGTTATTTATTCCCCCTCTGTAATATAATGAGTTTTAGTACAATCACGACAGTAATAACAACAGTGACTTACCACTAAGCAGTGAAAGACATCATGCTAATGATCAACAGAATAAGAACAACAAGACGAGCAACCGACTCCACCCTAAACCCTAAACCTCTAAACCCCTAAAACCTAAATCCTAAACCCTAAACCCGAAACCCCTAAACCCTAAACCCCTAAACCCCTGGAGCTCCTGCGCAGGCGGCTCCAGGGCAGGCGCTGGGGGCAGCGGTGGTCCTGTTCCCAAACCCAAGAGCTCACACAAGGCTTCCTCGAAGAGCTGGTATTTAGGGTTTAGCGTTTAGGGTTTAATTCGGGCCATATAGAGTCTGGAGTTCCAGCGGGGTTTGGGGCGGCAGAAAGCCGAAAACCCCCTATACATTAAGGAACATCCCTGAATGCGAGCCGGATTCTTAACATCGTTGAACGTGTATTCCTCGACTAAGTGGTCCTAAACCCTCAACCCTAAGCCCCAAGGATCTCAGCATGAGTTGCCAACCGAAATGGCGTAACATTGTGGATCCTTCAAAAACCCCTCTACGTATCCCGCACCCTGAACGCCTAAATTCCAAAGCCCCTGCACCCCTGAACCCTGAACCCCCGAAAGCCCCTGCACTCCCAAACCCCAAACCGTGAATCCCAAACCCTAAACCCTAAACCCTAAACCCTAAACCCTAAACCCCAAAGCCCCAAAGCCTCCGAAACCCGAAGCACTAAATCCTAAAACCCAACCCCAAAAGCCCGAGACCCCTCTAAACCCCCTAAGCCTTACCTAAACCCTTATATAGATCCCTTTAAAGGAACCC